TTACACTTAACCTCTCAACCCATAATGATCAAGCACTGCCCGACAAGAGAGGACCTCTCCCTCAGCTGCAAGGAACAGTGCTGCACTCTCTACTCATATGGATCCCGGGAATTAAAACCATTTGCAAACATTTTGAAACCATACATATCTATATATCATATATATATAAATTTTGCAAAACAAAATTTCAACGATTTAAATCAACTGTCAGCAGTTTGGTTTCTATCAGAGAGAGTGCATCCCCGATCATTACCTTTTTCCGACAAAGGGGCTGATCCCGTCACTATGATCACCCACTCAAATGAATTCTCAAACTGTCCCAACATACCTAGGTTTTGACCCCCGCTAAGGATCTCACTGATTGGCATATCAAAGACAGCCCAATCCAACACTAGGTGCAGTACCATAATCGGGTCTAGGGGTCAAGTGTAACTTTCCAGTTTTGCTCATCAATCTCCAAGGTCTAGGGCAACACTGGAATTCTGGTCTGGTTCAAGGGTTCAAGTAATCCTACACTGCGTGTGCCTTGGGTCTCACCCTGGCGGCTCAGACAAGCCACCCCAACAGTTGGCAGCACACCAGTGTCAGCCTTAGTAGGATAAATCTCCCCAGACTTATCCAACGGCTGTGAACATTTAGAACCAACACAAGTCTCATTAAGTGTCTAGTTTTAGGGTCTTACACAGAAGTATACCACACAACATGAATCAAACATGTACTTYRTTTATTTACATTRAATATCAAAAGTACATCAGAATTGATTGAAGCTAAGGGCATACAAAAACTGTCCAACAAAAACTACATTAGCCCTAATTCAACTATATGGGCCAAACTGCCTTTTGCATCAACCCATATACCTAGATAATGTTATATGATAATGTTACGGGCTCTAATGGGTTGATACTGATTTGACCTAACTAATTTAGGGTTTTATAGATGATTAAGATTGATTGGATCAATTGTGTTATTTTTCATGCATGTGATGTATGATGTGTGATGTGCTATGTACATGGGCCATAAGCAGTTGGCCCATGTTAAATCGATAGTGGTTCTTTCGCACACCATGGCTGAATGCACATCATTGCCATGGTGTCTTTAAGATCATTGGATGATCTTCCTTCTTGATGGGCCTCACATCAGCTTCCTCCCCGAGAGGAATTGTGCGGAACCCTAGCCGTTTAGGGCCCATCTGAATCTGACTTTAAGAAAGTTAATGGGAGCCACTTTGGTTTGACCTAAATGAGAACTAGGGCGTAATTATTCGTTCCCTCCAGCAAAATACAAGTGCATGTGATAGGGAGATTCATATGATGAAYTCTCTAAAGGCCTTCCATCATTAGCAAGAATATGGGTCATTCAGTAGTGAGGAGATGCACTATAAAATTGGGCTATCCATTTGCTGTTGGGTCTGTTGAATTGTTTCATAGGATAATAGGGGTGTCATATACTGATGTGGGAGGGGCCTATTTCACGAATATGATGGGTAAGCACTTACTGTACAGAAAGGTTTAACCTAAAATGGCAATGAACCTTGTCTGATAGAGGCCAAAGGGAAAACTCATAAGATGAGTGGATATGATCTTTCATAGAAGGTGGTGGGGTTATGTAGCTAAAATAGTTGGCTCCATGCACTGTATGTAATTTCCCACATTTCCAGAGACATACTTCGCAGTCTCCGTCACTGAGATAGGAGAGAAATCTCAAAGATGAACAAATGGAAATGGAACATGAATTAAAAGCCATATCCATGTAGTAAACATGAATCAATTTAGGTTGCAGACTAATAATCTACCTTTCCTTTTATCAGAAATGGCAAATGGAAAATTCTCCAAGTTGTTGGACGATAATAAGCTTAGGGGCCCAAACTATGCTGACTAGTTTTGTAACCTTATGTTGGTATTAACGTCTGAGAAATTGGACAAGGCTGCTAAGAACCCTGCTCTGGATCGTCCGGGTGATAGGGCTTTTGAGGCCCGAAGGAGAGACTTTCAAGAATGGGAAGAGAAAAACTCTCTTGCCCGGTGCTACATCATAGCCAACCTTGACAATCCGATACAAAGACAATTCAATCAGATCGAAGTTTCCAAGGATATCCTAGATAGTCTGAGGACCATGTATGAAGAGCAGAATTGTTCTACTCGACAAAAGGTCTTAAAGCTGTTTATGACCGCTAAAATGACCAAGAGCCAGATGGTTCATGACCATTGTCTTAAGATGATGAGTTACATTAATGAACTAGAGGCACTCGGGTCAGGGCTAGATCATGTCACCAAAGTTGATGCCATCCTAAACTCTTTGACTCCCTCCTTTAATCAGTTTATCATGAATTACAACTTCAATAAGCTAAATGTTAGCCTTCAGGAACTCAATAATATGTTGTAGAGGGTTGAAGAACTGATAAAGAAAGACAAACTGATAGCAATGCTTGTTGAAGGTGGCAATTTGGGTAAGAAGAAGAGGAGGGCAAAGAAAAAGCCTCAGAAAAATGTTAGCAAGCTTAAAAGGCAAAAGAAGGACAAGACATCTGATGCCTATCACTTTTGCAAGCAGACCAACCATTGGAAAAGGAACTATCCTCAATATCTGGAGACTAAGAAGCAAAGTAATTTCGAATCTTTTATCCTAGAGACCAATTTGTTGGTCACTTCTACTTCTTGGTGTATTGACTCAAGGGATTCAACTCATGCATGTAACACATTGTCGGAGTTCAAGACAAGCAGAAGACTGAGTGACGGAGAAGTAACGCTCTACTTGGGGACCTCTGCAACAGTTGCAGTTACAGCTATAGGAACTGTGGAATTAGTTTTCAGAGAAGGAATAATTGTACTTAAAGATTGTTTTTATGTACCGAACTTCAGAAGAAATTTGATTTTTGTCTCAAAATTGTGCATGGATGGTTATTCTATTTTGTTCAGTAATGTGATTACTATTAAATGAAATAATAAGTTCCTCGCATATGGAGAACTTGAGAATAGTCTCTATGTTCTCCATCCTTCTCTAGAAACAAACATAACCGAAACTACGTTGGAAATGATCCCCAAGAAGAGGACTTGTGGTACATTTAATCCCACGTGCCTATGCCATTACTGACTTGGCCACATTAATATAGATCGTATCGTAGCATTGGTAAAGGATGTTCTTTTGGATTTTCTAACTGTAGAAGATCTTCTAGATTGTGAACCTTGCCTTCAGGGTAAAATGACGATGATTTCTCATGGTATAGTTACGTATACCAAATGAGACATAAGTCTGAATCCATTGAAAGGTTCAAAGAGTTCAAACAAGAGGTCGAGAAACAGTTGGGGAGACACATTAAGGCCCTTTGATCATATCGAGAAAACGGGATTGTATCACAATTGGTTCCTCCTGGTACACCATAATTAAACGGTGTATCGGAGAGGAGAATTCGGACTCTATTAGATATGGTCCGTTCACTTCTTGTCCACTTAGAGTTACCTATATCATTTTGGGGTTACGCATTAGAGACAGCGATTTACGCGCTGAATCGGGTTCCAACCAAATCCGTTCCTAACACTCCATATGAGCTCTGGACTAGTAAGAAACCAAGTGTAAGACACTTGAAGATTTGGGGTTGTCCGACAGATGTTAAAAGAACTAGTGCTGACAAGTTGGAATCTAAGACCGGTCGTTGCCTATTTGTAAGTTACTCCAAAGGCTCTGTAGGTTACTTATTTTATGATCCAAAAGAGAAAAAAATGTTTGCAATCGAAATGCCTACTTCCTAAAGGAAGATTACATCCTGAATAATCTTCATCAAGAAGTTGTTCTTGATGAGGAGATACCAGGGGTAGTAGGAGATGTCCCACAAGCTCTAGAAAATAACAAGCCTAGAAGGTCTACCCGGGTATCCAGGCCTCCAGTTCGTTACGGTTATGACAAATAAAAGTTGCTTGGTGGAAGCCATGACTAGTGAGAAGGATCCTGTGACTTATACAGAAGCTATGTTGGACATAAATTCCTTGAAGTGGGTAGATTTCATGAGAGCTAAGATGGACTCAATGGAGATCAATAGAGTCTGGGCTCTACTAGATCCGCCCCCTAGGGTAAAGATACTTGGTTGCAGATGGATCTATAAGAGGAAGAAGGGCCCTGATGGTAAAGTTGAGACCTATAGGGCTTGTCTTGTGGCAAAAGGGTACACTTAGAAAGAGGGAATGATGTAGGGATCTATAAGGTTATGTTCCTGGTTCTGTATGTAGATGACATTCTACTCATTGGGAATGATGTAGGGATGTTAAATACAGTGAAAGTGTGGCTTTCACAACAATTCTCCATGAAAGATCTTGGAGAAGCCTCTTACATCTTGGGACTTCGACTCTATAGAGATAGATCGAAGAGGATAATAGGATTATCCCAATCTACTTACATTGACAAGATAGTCAAAATATATAGTATGGAGAACTCCAAGAAAGGAAATATTATTTTCAGGCCCTGAATCACTCTCACCAAGGGCATGTCTCCCAAGATTCCCGAGGAGATTGAGGGCATGTGAGAGATTCTTAAAGGGATGAGAGATCCATCATATGGATGGCCGAACCCTGTAGGTAGGTTGGGCGAAATTTCAAAAATTTCTCTCTCCCATGTGGGAATCACATTCCCTGTTTTAGAAAATCTGCATTTTCAAGTATCAATCTTGAACCTAAAACGAACCAGATCTGAAACCAAAAGGTAGGGGAGGGATATACCTGATACGGAGTAACAGTAACTCCCAACGAAGGTGTTTACGCCCAAGGAAAATGCCAAAGACTACACCCACTGAAGATGACACAACGTAGGGTGGAGCAGAATCAGTAGGTGGTTCTTTAGCAAGAACCAAACTTTTTAGCAAGAATTCGATGGAGGGTCAGGTGTAACATTCCAGTTTTGCCAACTAATCACCAAGGTCTAGGGCAATACTTGAATTTTGGTCCGGTTCAAGGTTTCAAGTAAACCTACACTGCATGTACCTCGGATCTCACCCTAGCAGCTGAGACAGGTTACCCCAACCAACTTGGCGGCACATCAGTGTCAGCCTTAGCAGGATAAATCTCCCCAGATTTATCCAACTGCTGTGAACACTCTAAACTAACACGAGTCTCATATGTGTCCAGTTTAAGGGTATTACACAGAAACACACCACAATAACATGAATCAAATATGTACTTTATTCATTTACAATAAATGTCATAATGTACATCATTCTGATTGGAGCTAAGGGCATACACTATCTAACAACTCCCACTTGCACTTAGGTCCAAACGGGTACAAGCCGGAGTCCTAGACTTTCCCCATGTTTCATAAACACTTTTTGTGTCAGTGGCTTAGTCAATGGGTCTACCACATTCTCCATTGATGCTACATCTTAACATCAATCTTCCGCAGGTCCAGTGTTGTCACACAATAGTGGAATGGGTGATGTGTTGAATTCCAAATTCAGGAATGAACACATTCATTCATTAGGCAGCCTCACTTACGGCAATGTGTTTGGCTAGGGTTGTGGACTGTTATTCTCGGTACTTAGGACCCCTGTTTGCTGACTTTCAGGAAACAACACAAGATCCTATCGTGAAAACATACCCAAATGTAGACTTTCTATCATCTAGATCTGACTAGAAATCGACATCAGTATACCCCTAGATCTGTAGTGAGCTACCATCGAATACCAGACAAAACTCTTTTGTCCTTCGAAGGTACTTAAGTATATTTTTCACAGCAGTCCAGTGCTCTTACCCTAGGTTGGCCTGGAATCTCCTTACCACACTCACTGCCTGAGCGATGTCAGGACGGGTGCACAACATGACATACATGATGCTCCCTACGGCTGAGGCATAAGGAACGTCCTTCATGCCCTCAATCTCCTCGAGAGTCTTGGGAGACATCCCCTTGGAGAGAGTGACTCCGTGCCTAAAAGGAACATTTCCTTTCTTGGAGTTCTCCATATTGTATCTTTTGACTATCTTGTCAATGTAAACAGATTGGGATAATCCTATTATTCTCTTCGATCTATCTCTATAAAGTCAAAGACCCAATATATAGGAGGCTTCTCCAAGATCTTTCATGGAGAATTGCTGTGAAAGCCATACTTTCACCGTAGTCAACATTCCTACATTATTCCCAATGAGCAGAATGTCATCTACATACCTAACTAAGAACATAACCTTATCCCCACTGGATTTCTTGTAAACATAAGGTTCATCCAGATTCTGCTAAAAGTCAAACCTTTTGACAGTAGAGTCAAACCAGATGTTCCAACTCCTAGAATCTTGCTTAAGTCCATATATGGATCTATTTAATTTACATACCATGTGTTCTTGACCCGTAGCTATAAAACCTTGCGGTTGCTGCATATAGATATGTTCAGTAAGATCTCCATTCAAGAACGCAGTTTTGACATCCATTTGCCAAATCTCGTAGTCATGGTATGCTGCTACAGTTAGTAGGATCCTAATGGATTTAAGCATGGCCACCGATGAAAAGGTTTCCTCATAATCGATGCCCTCTTTCTGAGTATACCCTTTCGCCACCAGACGAGCCTTGTAGTCTCAACCTTACCATTGGGGCCCTTCTTCCTCTTATAGATCCATTTGCAACCAATTGCTTTTACCCCGGGGGGGGGGGGATCTACTAGAGTCCAGACTCCATTGGTCTCCATTGAGTCCATCTCAGCTCTCATGGCATCTACCCACTTCAAGGAATCTATGTCCAACATAGCTTCCGTATAAGTCACGGTGTCCTCCTCACAAGTCATAGCTTCATCCAGGTAATTATCTTGGTCATAGCCAAAACGGACTGGAGGCCTGGAAACCCGGGTAGATCTTCTTGGTTGGTCACTACCTAGAACTTGTGGGACACCTCCCCTACCCCTGAGCTCTCCTCATCATGAACAATTTCCTGACGATGATTGTTCAGGATGTAATCATCTTCCAAGAAATTGGAATTTCGGCTACAGAACACCTTCTGTTCACCTGGGTCATAGAATAGGTAACCCACAGAGCCCTTGGGGTAGCCTACGAATAGGCAACGACTGGTATTGGATTCCAATTTGTTCAAGTGTCTCACACTTGGTTTCTTTCCGGTCCAAAGCTCATAGGGAGTCTTTGGAACTGATTTGGTTGGAACCCGGTTCAGCACGTATATCACAGTCTCCAATGCATAACCCCAAAAGGATGTGGGTAGCTCTGAGTGCACGAGAAGTGATCGGACCATCTCATATGCCTGCAATCTAATCTCATCTAACTCATTAAGTTGTAACATTCTCTTTTCACCTGCAGTCTTCATATCGAAGTTCAGTGCCTTAATTGCCCAAAAGGCCCGGTGTTCCAACTCGATAGGAAGGTGACATGCCTTGCCATAAATCAACCTATAAGGGGACATACCAATAGGGGTTTTGTAAGCAGTTCGATATGCCCATAAAGCATCATCAAGTTTTGCAGCCCAGTCTTTCCTTGACCCATTGACAGTCTTCTCCAGAATCTTCTTAAGTTCCCTATTAGATACCTCGACTTGCCCACTAGTCTGGGGGTGATAGGGTGTAGCAACCCTATGATAGACATTATATTTCTTGAGGAGAGAATCAAACTGTTTTTTGCAAAACTGGGATCCCCCATCACTAATGATAGCTCTAGGAACTCCAAACCTCGAGAAAAGCTTCTTCAGGAACTTAATCACTACCCTAGCATCATTGGTGGGGGATGCAACTGCTTCAACCCACTTGGAGACATAATCCACTCCCACCAAAATGTAATGGTTCCCATGTGAGGATGGAAAAGGACCCATGAAGTCAACTCCCTACACATCAAAAAGTTTAATCTCCTGGATAGAAGTCAATGGCATCTCATTTCTCTTGGAGATATTTCCTACTCGCTGGCAGCGATCACATCTAGCAACAAACCCTCTAGAGTCTTGAAATAATGTAGGCCAAAAAAACCACTCTCTAGAACCTTAATAGCAATCTTTGTTGCACCAAAATGACCACCATATGCTGAGTCATGGCAATGAGTAAGAATGTCAAGCATCTCCTCCTCAGGCACACATCTCCTAATGATATTATCACCACAAATCTTGTAAAGGTAAGGATCCTCCCACAAGTAATGCTTAACTTCCGACAAAAACTGCTTTTTCTGCTGATAAGAAAAATCTGGTGGCAAAATATCACAAGCTAAATAATTTGCCGAATCTGCATACCAGGGTGCACTCAAATGTTGAATAGCTAGAAGGAGTTCATCTGGAAAGTTCTAATTGATCTCGGGATCATCATCTCTCTTCTCTGAAGGGATGAGAAGTCCATCACATGGATGCCCAAAAGTTGCGGAATAGGGTGGGCGAATTTCAAAAATTTCTCTCCCTTCAACTGGGAATCGTATTCCCTATTTTAGAAAAATCATATTTTTTAAGGATCAATCTTGAACCATAAACCGAACCATATTTGAAATGAAACAGTGGGAGAGGGATCTACCTAATACAGAGAAATAATATCTCTCAATGGAGGTGTTCACGCCCAAAGAAGATCACCAAAGATGGCTCCCACTGAAGATGACACAATGGATGGAGCAGCGGAATCAGCAGGGTCTGTCCCATGAACCGAATTATTCAACAAGAATCCAATGGAGGTAGTGAGCACAACTTCCTATCAGCCTTTCAGCAAAGACTGATGTCAAGATCCAATCTTGACCACTCCTACAATGTTGGAGAATGAACTGGCAGTATGGCAGCAACAGGAAGGGATCACAGGGAGAAGGCGCAGTCACACTATGTATTCTTCTCTCTGTAATTCGAGATCTAGTATCTTTGGAACTTTTGGGATGATCTGGATGGTTCGCCCCCTCCTGTTGTAGGCTTAAAGAGATCAGCTCCTGATCCTATTAGGAGTTTCCTAATTCAGATCATAATCTGAATTTGGACTCTCTTTAAGTGATAAGGATAAAACCCTTATCTTATCTGCAGATTAGATCAGCCTTCTCCTGATCTTATCAGGAGGTTTC